AAAAAAAAAAAAAGTGATTAAGGGTGGGTCCCTTAGCCAGAACGACCAAGGGATTAGAAGGCTAGAACTTTCAACTCTATCCATCAACCTCCAGGAAAGGGAAGGGGACTAGAAATTAAGCTCTACAAAAACTCCTGAATGATCAGATGGAATGAGCTTCCAGACTGGTGAACACATATACATCTACCTCCACATACCAAGAGGGGAGCACACCCCCGCCCAGACACATCCGAACCTTACCATATGTTTCTCATCGCCTGGCTCGTTTGCATTCTTTATAATAAACTGATAAGTAACGCGTCTCCCTGAGTTCTGTGAACCATTCCAGCAAATTATTGAACCTTAGGAGGGGGCTTTGGGAACCCCAGCTTTATAGCTGGTTGGTCAGAAGGACAATAGGCCTGCAACTTGTGACTGGCATCTGAGAGGAATGGTCAGTCTTGTAGGACTGAGCCCTCAGCTGTGAGGTCTGCACTAATGCTGGGAAGTTAGCGTTGGAGCTGAATTGTTGAACACCCAGCTGGTGTCTGGAGAATCCAATAATTAGCTGTAGGTGTTGAAAAACTCTCTAGATCATTATAGTAATTTAGATGAAGAGAAACCAAACAGTTGAACCTGGCCTGTGGACCCCAGATATCCCTCACTGGTCTAGATGTAGATTATTGGTGAAAGGCTGAAAACACTGGTTTCTTTTTCACAATCATGGCACTATAATTATTAACTTTTCCCCTCTTTTTTTTTTAAATCAGGGTAAAATTTAAAGTGAACAAATTTTCAGTAAGGAACTTGATTCTTTACATATGTGTACACCTGTCCAGCCGCTACCCAGATCACGAGAGAGAACATCCCTAGCACCCCAGAAAGCTCTTGTCCCCGCTCCCAGTCAATATCTCAAAGGCAACATTATATATCACTGTGCTTTTAGTTCACCTGTTTTAAAATTTAATATAAATAAGTGGAATTACAGATATTCCTCTTTTAAAGGTCGCACCTCCCAATACTGACACAATGGCAATTAAATTTCAATCTGAGTTCTGGTGAGGACATTCAGACCACAGTATTGTATGAAGAAATAGCCTGTTATTTTTCATTGTTGTGTAATATTCCATTATATGATAACAATTAATTTGCACTTACCTATTAGTGGAATTCGTGTTGTTTTCAGTTTTGGTCTGAAAACGTACATGAAACTGCTACAACAGTCTTTTAAATGTCTCTTGGTTGGTGTAAACATCTTGTTTCTCCTGGGTATATACTGAATGGTGGAATTATGTCCAATAGTGGAAATATTTCCAATCGTTCAATTACAACCCTCATTAACTTAAGTGCCCAAAGCTGCCCAGTTCCCTGATTGTGTCAATTCACCCTCCCGTCAACAACGTATGATGGGCCGGGTGTGGGGGCTCACGCCTGAAATCCCAGCACTTTGGGAGGTCAAGGCGGGCAGATCATTTGAGGTTAGGAGTCTGAAACCAGCCTGGCTAACATGGTAAAACCTCGCCTCTACTAAAAATACAAAAATTAGCTGGGCATGGTGGCAGGCGCCTGTAAACCCAGCTACTCGGGAGGCTGAGGCAGGAGAATCGTTTGAACATGGGAGGCGGAGGGTGCAGTGAGCTGAGATCGCGCCACTGCACTCCAGCCTGAACAGTGTACGACAGGTCTGGTCAATTCTCAGTCTTGTCATATTTAATATTGTTAGACTCTTTGATGTTAACTTTACTAATGGGAATAAAGCATTAATTTTTAATGTTAAAATTTTATTTAAAAGTTGTGATAATTTTTATTTACCTAAAATTGGTGGCTCATGGATGCTGAATGTTGGAGAAACTTCTAGGACTCTTCCAGGTATTCAGAAATTCCTTGAGGATGTGTGGGGGTGTTTCTGCCTGTGTGTGTGCCGTAGCCACAGAAGGATGCTGCTCCAGACCACACCCTTCTTTCTTTTTCCCACGAATAGGAAGAGTTTACTTGGGATCCCAGAGGGAGATGTTTCCCATCATCAGCAACATCTGGGGAACATCTGGGGAGTCCATCCCAGGACAGGCAGATGCTTTTCTGGAACATACATCACGTATTTGATTCTTTTTATTCTCCTATATTTTCCCTTGTTCTCTCTTTCTCTTCCATTGGGCTCCCCACTCTAAGCCCCGCTCCTGCCCTCACCAGCCAACTCACTACCCTGATTGCTGTCTGGTCTGGTTTCTCCAATATACAACCCAACAGGATGCAAACATAGGCAGCATGAGAGACCCTCATTAACTCCAGTGCCCAGCCCTGCCCAGTTCCCTGAGAAGCAGGCAGTATCTTCCAGAAACTAAGTCAAGGAATGTTGAAACTGGTGGAGGTTCTCTGGTCCAATGCCTCCATTTTACAGATTGAAAGCCAAAGTCCAGAGAGAGAGAGGGAAAGAGAGAGGCAGGGACAGAAACCAAACCAGAGCTTTACTTCTGGGTATCATAGAAACCCCTCTTCTGCTGGAAACTTGGCCTGGAGATTAGCAGCAGGCAGTGGAAAGGATTCCTTGGGACCAGCAATGTCTGTAGCCGGCAGCCACAGTGAGAGCACAGCAGAGGTCTGAGGTGGGTGGTGGAGGATGTGTGGCCTGGGGGGTTACCCCTTAAAGCCCTGAGAGTTGAGTCACCTCTAGCAACAGACACCCAGCTTTGTGGCCTTTAAGCTCCTTCCTGCGCGTTATCAGCTACACGTAGCTTCAGTGTACTAGTGGTGTTAAAAATCCAGCCACTGCCACCTCCAGCCCTGCCCTTTCCTTGAGTCCTAGCAACTTTACCCATTTACTAGGCATGTTTAGTGTATTCAGGTTCTCATCAAGCACTGGAGATCAAGCAGTGATCAAGTCCAATGTTGCTCCTGCCTTCCCACTGCTCACAGACAACACACAAAAAATGCACAAGGAAACCACACAACAAAGTGGGTGCAAGGCAGGTGCGAGGTGGGATCCATCAGCATCCTTGAAAGTCTGAAACAGGACATACTCTGAGAACTGACCACTAGCCAACAGGGCTGGAGGGCAGTCATCAGGGGTGCGAGGGGCAAGGGTACAGGGGAGGCTGGGACAGAATCATACCTCATGTGTGAAATAAAACTGAAAGCAGCAGACTAATATTAAAAGCACATGAACTGGCCGGGCACGGTGGCTCATGCCTGCCATTCCAGCACTTTGGGAGGCTGAGGTGGGTGGATCACCTGAGGTCAAGAGTTTGAGACCAGCCTGGCCAATGCAGTGAAACCCCATCTCTACTAAAAATACAAAACACTAGTTGAGTATGGTGGCGTGAGCCTGTAATCCCAGCTACTTGAGAGGCTGAGTCAGGAGAATCACCTGAACCTGGGAGGTGGAGGTTACAGTGAGCCGTGATCAAGCCCCTGCACTCCAGCGCAGGCAACAGATTGAGACTCCACCTCAGGAAAAACAAACACATGAATCGACAAAACGACGTGCACACACATTAATGGCAGTAAAATGGGGCGTGGGGAAGGGAGTGGGAAATGAGGGCATGAAGAGAGAGGTAAGACTGCAAAAGTGAGAAAGGGGCAAATTATTCCGGCTTTGCAGGCCCCAAGGCGCTGAGACATCATCAGGAGAGTACTGGGAAGCCGCTGGACGCTTGGCTCCAGCTGCCCAGACACCTCCCCCGGGAGGCCCCCAGGTACACACTCCAGCATCCGGAAGGACAGGGCCTTCATCTTCCCCCAACCTGCCTTCCTCCTATTGTTCTTCCAGGAAAGGTAGAGTGGGGCAGCCCCCTGCCATTCTGCATACACAGCTGTGGTTCAAGATGGCTCTCACCATTATTTCCATCCCAGAGGCCATCCAGGCAGGCAGGAGTCGCCCCCACCCCCCACCTGGAGGTAGGTAGAATGGAATCGTGAGGGCTGGGCTAGTGGCTGACAGCATTCATCTAGGACAGCCAGAAGAACCCAGAATGCAGCGGGAGCAGGACTGGGAGGGGAGGGTCCGGCTCCCACGAAGGCTCCCTGGAGGAGGCAGCGCAAGCTGAGCCCTTAAAGGCGTTGGGATTCTGGTAAGCAGAGAGAGGGCAGGAGAGCATTCCAGTTGAGAAGACCAGCTGCAGCGAAAGTGTGAGGGTGGAAACGCTCGAGGGGACGGGTAGACGTGGCCTGCGGTTGGGAAGTGGGGCCGAGGGTGGGCTCCTGCGCCAGGAGTTGGCCGCCGGGGCAGGCCATACAAGGGAGGGTTGGCCCCGAGTCAGGGGCCTTGGCGGGAGCAGAGAAGGCAGTGGGCCCATTTTAAGTGGCCAAGGTCTGGCCCGGAAGAAAGCAGCCTTTTCATTTTTTCAAGGGAAGGGTGAGGTGGGAGTGGGGAAGCCGGTTCCAACAACCCCTAGTTCGGAACTTCTGCAGGGAAGGGTCTCTTGGCCCGTGGGCAGAGGTGACGTTCAGGCCCGCTGATGACATCCATCCTTCCTGCTCCCCGGCTCCCCGCTCCCCACACACCCCAGATTCCTCTCCAGCCACAGTTTACTTTTCCGGCGGATCTAGGGGTGGGTGGTGGGGTGGGGGCGGAGGAGGGAACGTTTAGATTGGAATATAATAAACTGCCTCTAGAGGGTGGAGACGTCCGGGAGGTCGGCTCTGCCACTGTCTAGCCCGGTGGCCTCGCGGAGTTACGGGGTACTCCGGGACTTAGTCTACCCATCTGTAAACTGGGGCGGTGGGGCGAGGTGGGGATCTCTGCCGGGGGGAGTCGCCCGCGCCTGTAGGGACCGGGCTGGAAGCGGGGCGGGCGCGGCAGGAGCGGGCTGCGGCGGAGGCGCAGTCGCGGGGTCAGAGTCCGCAGGGAGGCCCCGGCCGCTGCGCCGGGCTCCGGGCTCCGCGGTCCGGGCTCCGAGCTCCGGGCGGGGGAGGAGGTGGCGCCTCCGGGGCGTGGCTGCGGGCGGCCTGGCGGGAGGCCCGGCGTGCGTCAGCGCCTGAGCCCCGGAGTTTTCCACTGACGAGGAGGGCGGAGCGGCGGGCGGGGCCGGGCGCAGCCAGTCTCCAGTCTCCCGCCGCCGCCGCCGCTGCCGGACGCGCGTCGCCAGGGGCTGCGGGACCGCCGGCCGCCGGGCCGAGCGCAGAGTCGCGGCGCGGGGGGAGTCCCGGGCCGGGGCGCAGGTGGAGCCGGTGTCCTCCGCGAGCGTCCGGATCCAGGTGAGCGCCGAGGGCCTCGGGCCCCGCCGGCCGGGACTCCGGGGAGGGGGCGTTCAGCGCGAGCGGCGCCGCCGCTCCGGCCCCTGCGGTTCGCTCCCCGGCACCTTGGGCGGGAGCCGCGCTGCCCGGCCCTGACTGCGCGCCGCGGCCGGAGTCGGGGGCCAGGGGCCCGGGGCCCGGGCGGGGGGAGTCGCGGGTTTTGCGCTCCCCGCCCCCGCCCGCCGCCGGCACCCCGAGAGAAGTCGCGGCGCCCCGAGCTCGCGAGTGGGGACAGAGCCGGGCGTGCGCGGCAGCGGCGAGGCGACGGGGGCGTGCGCCCGCGGGCGAGTTTCCTTTTGACCCAGTTGCCTGAGAACTTTTCAGAAGTTCCTCGCGTGGCCGAGCAGGTGACGTTTGTCGCCTTCCTCCTCGGGCTCCCCCCTCGGGGACGCCGCGGGAGCAGCGGCGTGTGCCGGGCGCCCCTGGCCGGCAGGGGTCGGGGAGGGCGTGGAGGGATGAGCGGGACGGAGGCGGATGAGTCACGGACCCCGGGAGGAGGAGGGGGGTGGGGGAGGGATTGTGTCGTAGGCTCACCTGTTTGTCAGTCGCCGTCACTCTCGGAGGCCACCGCTGTGAGTCACGGGCGCAGCTACACCGGCCACCCGCGGGCACACGTAGACTCTCTCCCACGCACTTCTTCCGCGGCACGTACTTCTCCCCCTTCCTCAGTTTCTCCTCCCCGGGGCCCATTCACGGGCACACGCTGTGGAGATGCCCACACCACAGCCACAGTCACACACTTAGCCTCTCCCACTCCCGGCACAGTCACACACAGCCGGAGCCCACACTCCTGACACCAGAGGGTCCCTCCCCGCCTCCTGCTGCCCACCCAGCACTTCCCCCCAGAAGTCTCAAGCCTTTTGGAGAGTAACTCATCAGCTCCCGCACCCCTGGCAGCCCTGCCCTCTTCCAGCTCCTCACCCGCATCTGCCTTCCTCCTCTGCCCTTGACCTGTCATCTCACCTGGCTCCCGCTGCGCCTCCAGCCGTCACACCCCCTCCACTCCCGGTGCCCAGTCACGTTTTTAAAATGCAAAGCTGGCATTGTCACTCCCTACTTCAGCCCTCTGTGGCTTGACGTGCCCTCGGGCTAAAACCTGCCCTGGGGCCCAGTCTCAGCCCCCTCGAGGCCGCCCCTCCTCCGATCACCAGTTTGCTCAGCTTCCTTACTCACGCCTGTCTGGAGCTCTCCCTACAGCCCTTCCTCGGAGAGACCTACCTTCACCCCAGCGGTACCCTGTCCCACCCTTCAGACCCCCCATCCCAGCACCCTGTTTGTCCTCCCCGCTCAACTCAGAGCTTCAAGAAGGCCCCAGCGGTGTAAGTTTTGCGCCCTGCATGCGCGAGTTCCTGCCACCGTGTTTGACACGTATGTGAGCTTAGTGCGTATTTGTTGAATTAATGAATGAGAGAGGGAAGAAGCCCCGCTTAGGTGAAGGAAGCAGTCATTGTCAGGTGCAATTTCCCTTCTGCAGGAACAAGTGCCTCATGTAGCCAGCAAACATTTGGCACCTCTCCTGTGCCAGGTCCTGGAGGTCAGAGCTGAGGAACTGTCCCTCCCCCAGCTCTCCTTCAGAGGGATGCTTGGGGGAGGAGGTGCCAAGGCTTTCTCTGCCCTCTCTGGACCACCCAGGCTGGTTTTTCAGTGGGGGCTAGAGGTGCTAGGAGGTGCCCTCCCCTTCTCCCAGGAAGTTGTTCCTGAGGGCCAGGGATCATGTGACCCCAAGTGTTTTGGGGGGACTGGCCAAGGCCTGGGGCTCTGAGGTTAAAGGACACATTCTTCAGATTCCTGAAGGGGGATGGAGGCAGCTAAAGGTGCCCCCTCCCTAAGACTGGCTTGGGCTGAGGCCTGCGGCAGTGCTGAGACTGCCGAGGTGGACAGAGGACTTGCTGTGACTTTTCTGAGCCCCGCCCCCACCTCTCAAAAGCAGCCCTTGGTTGCTTGGTACCCAGGGGTGATGTGGCCTTTCCTGGATCCGAACGGTGTGATCTGAGCGTGTAGATAATTGTGGCCAGTAGAGTGGGGGGTTGTCAGTGCCTGCGTGTGGTGGCAGGAGGGCTGCCCGATTCTCAGGGCTGAGATCCCAGAAGAAGCCTGGCTCTCTTTGATTCAGGGCCTGTCTCTGGGGTTCCTCCGTGGTGTGGTATTTCTGTCTGAGCCAGCTCCTGGGAGCTGCTTTTCCTTCCTTTGGGACCCTAGGAGGGGCTGAGCTCAGCCTGGGAACAGCGCCACGGTCAGGATCGTGATTCCTGGGTAGCTGCTGAGGGCCCCTCCCCCACCCTCTGACTCACTGTCTGACACTTTTCTTAGATTCTCACTATCTTTCGTTCCCCCTTCTGACTTGGCCTCTGGGGTCTCTGGCTCAGTCTTTTTGTTTCATCTCCTGCCTCTGCTTCTTAGCCTCTGGATTCCCAGGTGGGACAGAGGAACACGAGAACCAGGGGAGCGAGAACCAGGGGAGCGTTTTCCCTTCTCTCTGTCCAGAGGAGAAAGGACAGGGCGGAGGTAATTTCTGTTTCATTCCAGCTCTGCAGATTTGCGAGGCATTGTTCATCATTAGAACCTGCAGCATGACCGTAGCCTCCCTGTGTCTCTGTGTCACTGCCTGTAGAATTGGAGGTCATCACTCCTCACCTTAAGTTCTTTTTCCATGGACTTCCCTGAGGCAGAGCCGCAGTGTGTGGCTGAGCCTGCTTTCCTGACATCTCTCTCCATCTGTCTCCTCTTGGGGAACAGGGAGCCTCCTGGGATTGCCTACATTGGCACCTGCCTGCAGAGCTTCCCTCTCTGTCCCCAGAGCCACCCCTTTTGAGCACCATTCTTGCTTGTACCCTCTGGCACAGCTGAGAGATAGACATGTGACTCACCTCCTCCCCCCTTAAATTAACCATGACAGGAGCAGGAGAAGGTCACACTGACCACTCGCCCTCAGCAACCTCATGTGCATAGGATTGCCTGTGCAATCGGGTCCATACCCAATATGCAGGGCTGGTCTGCCTACCTCTGATATTATCAGGTGCCCTCTCTATGCCAGACACTGTCCTGGGCATGGGCACAGTGGCAGCCAGAGATGCCCTCAGCGTGAGGCAGATGAGCAATGAGACCCTTGCAGGCTGGTCAGATAAGGTCTGTGATGGGGAAATAGCAGGGCTTTTGAAAGCAGCTATAATAGAAAGTCCGTAGACTGGGTGGCTTACACAAAAGAACACACCTTGGGAGGTTGTGAAGTTCAAGATGAAGGCTCCAGTCAGCCTGATGAGGGCCCTGTTCTCAGATTGCAGATGGATACCTTCTTGCTGGGTCTGAGCCCACATGTTGGAGAGGGAGACCATCTCTTTTGTGTCACTTGTTATAATGGCGCTAATAGGTGTTATTCATGACACCTTATTATTTTATTTGGAGGTGAGGCCTTTGATTACCTCCCAAAGGCCCCACCTCCCAATACCATGACACTGGGGATTCAGTCTCCACATAAGAATTTTGGTAGGATACAGATACTCAGTTCACAGCAGGAGCGCAGAGATGCAGGGGGAAGGAGTGGGGGATTCAGGAGGTTCCTTGAGAGATGACTTTCTGAAAGGGAGTGAGGCTGGGTTGTGCAGAGGCCAGGAGGTGAGTGGGGACGTGGGTGGCTGTCAGGGGAACTGCAGGTTCAACCGGAGTGTAGAGAGCAGCGTTGAGAGAGGGAAGCAGTGGCCGGGTCACTTCAGCTTCTTGAATTCTGGACTCGATCCTAAGGTCAGGCTTCCCCAAGGGGAGCTCTAGAGTGGTTCTAGGCGTGGGAGTGGTAGGTACATGTGTGGTTTATGAAGGTCATTCTGGCTGCAGGATCAAGAACAGCCGGGGAAAGAGGGCAGGGGCAGAGGGACATGGGGTGGCAGCTATAGGGACAGAGGCATGTTAAGGTTAGTAAACTTTTTAGATTGACAGTAACCTAAATAAAATACATCAAGTATATAAATCTTGTGTGTATGTAAGATGAAGTTTTGCAATTTTAGACATCCATGTAACCATCATGCAGATCAACATGGAACTTTTACAGCCCCTCCTACCCCCGACCCCAGAAAATTTACTGTCTCCAGGGCATCCCCTTCCCTCGAGGGAACCACTGCTGTGACTTAAATCATCACGGATTCGTGAACGTTTGCATGTATTTCGTGTCTGGCTTCTTTCACTCCACGACGTCTGTGAGATCATCTGTGTCGTGTGCATCCAGGGGCTGGAGCGCAGTTTTTTGTTTTTGTTTTTTACAGTGTGGAATAACACATTCACTGAGCTCTTATCACTAATCTAAGAACACGTGACATGTATCGATTCCTCTAAACCTCTCAACCCTGTGAGGTCTTAAGACAAAGAATTGGAGGCACAGAGAGGTTGAGGAACTTACCCAGGATTACCCAGCCAATTAATAGTGGAGCCAGGGTTCAAACGCAGGCAGTCTGGTTCTGGAGCCGAGGTTCTTAACACTGTGCCAGGTGGCCTCCACGATAGCTACTGGGTCTGTTGCTGGCTTTGTGTGGATTAAATGGATTTGCGTGAACTCCCAGGCACGGGCGCCTGGGTGTAGACGGAGGGAGATAGAGGAAGGAATTGAGGATGACTGCAGGTTTCTGGCTTGAGTGACTGGGTGGGTGGCGGGGCTGTTACTAAGATAGGGAACACAGGAAGAGGAACAGATGGCATGGGGGGTGGGGAACAGAGACAAGGGGTTCGATTTGGGGCCTGCAGAATTGTATGTTTCTAAGGGACGGCTGGGTGGAGATACCAAGTGTGCAGTGGGTCCTGGGGGTCTCAGGCTGGTTGTGTGTGAAGGAGGCATTCAGGACCCTGTAGATGGCATCTGGAACTTGGGAAAGGATGGGGTCTCTTGGCAGGATGCGATGGGGACAGGATGTGTGGGTGTCGCTTGTCCATATGTGTGTTTCCGTGTGGTCTGTGCATGTGTGTACGTGTGTGTATGCCTGACTCTGGGACATGAATCCCCCACCTCCTGGGAGAGCCTGCGGGTCAGCTGGGAGCTGGGTTGTTTTTGTTTGTGGTTTGACCCTTGGAGGGGGGTGCCAAGCCTGAGAAACTACCCACAGAGAAGCCCCCGGAAACATCTGTGAGTCTTCTTCCCCCAGGCCCAGGGTGGGGGATCGGCCCGGGAGGGAGGTTTTCTTGCTTCTCTCAGGCCTGCCTAGGGGAGGCTGTCCCTGGGGTAAACATCAAGTTAGTAAAGGTGACAGCAAACCCTACAGGATTTGGGGACTTTTGAAGGTAGCTGGGAAGAGGCGGAAGGAGTGTTTGGAAAGGACACCTGAGTAGAGGAGACCCAGGCAGCCTTCTGGTTGGCTTTTCCTGTTCTCTCTCATTTCCTGTGATGGCAGTGGGGGAAGGGCTCCCCAGCACTGGGGCCTCGCCCATAGCTTGTTTCCTTTCTCTTTCCCCCCTGCTGACCTCCCCAGAGGCACAGCTGGAGCAGCAGAGACAAGGTAGCTGTACTCAGCCTTTGGGATTGAGTCCTCTGGGGTTTGCCAAGCCTTGGGAAGAGACATTATTTGTTGACGCATTCCAGGGAAGGAACCCCAAATCTTTTATACTTGGATAAGGCCAGCTGGCTGTGGAAGTCTCTGGTTCTGCTTCTGCTGAGGGCCGAGACTCTCACACGGGAGACAGTGTTGTGTTGTGGGATGCTCCATGTCATGAAGCCACAGACGGGAGAGACTTTGGACATTAGGATTGAATGAGATGTTAAAGAGACATCCTGAGTAGCTGTGGTCACACAGGCCTGGAGTCAGGAGATTTCTTGACGGGGGAGCGGGGGTTTCTAAGGGAAAGTCTGAGAAGCTCCCACACCAGGAGGGGAGGGGCTCAGAAATGTACTCCATCTAGGAGTGGAGGCCAGCGTCAAAGCCAGCCTGTTCCCCAGAGTGCCTGGCTAGCCTGGAGCAAGGGCCCGCAGCCCTGCCTGTGTGCAGGGTGGCGTGTCTGTGTGGGTGTGCTAGAGGAGGAGGAAGCAGAGCCAGCATACCGGGGCTGTGCGGGCTGTGCGGGCTGTGGGGGCTGTGGGGCGTCCAGACACACACACAGGCACACAGATGCGAGCTGTGTGAATCACCCAGCCTGTGAGTCAGCCCCCAGGATTCCTGTCGGGGAATGAGTGAGGCCAAGGCTGAGGTCTGCCAGTCCATCTGCTGATCTGTCTGCCTCCTGCCCCTGCTGGTGTGGATGCATGTGTGTGTGTGTGTGCTGTAGGAGGTGGTGGGGAAGGTGCCTGGTGCCTGGGAAGGCTTTGGGCCGAGGTGGGAGTTTGAGACGCCAGGTCATGGATTTGCACATTAGTTTGGAGCGAGGGAGGTTCTGTGTCTTGTGCAGAGATTCTCCTGGAGACTGTGTCCCCCACCACACACAGAGCTCCACAGAGAGGGCTGGAGAGCAGAGGCCAGGGTCTGGGATGCCTCAGAGGGCAAGTGGGAGGGATGAGGATCCCGGCTGGGAGCCCACCTGCTGCCGCCTGCCTGCCACTTAGAGCCTTCTCCTTCCCATTCTGGTTGCCTGTCCCGGCCGCAGAGCGCCCCGTGCACCACCATGACTGGGCTGTTGAAGAGGAAGTTTGACCAGCTGGATGAGGACAACTCCTCGGTCTCCTCCTCCTCCTCTTCCTCTGGGTGCCAATCTCGCTCCTGCTCTCCAAGCTCTTCCGTCTCCCGTGCCTGGGACTCAGAGGAGGAAGGTCCCTGGGATCACATGCCCCTGCCTGACCGTGACTTCTGTGGCCCCAGAAGTTCTACCCGTAAGTCCTCCCTCCCCCGGGAACCCCCTCACCTGCCGTCCTTCCTGAAAGATGAAATTTAGAGGTCCCTGACAAAATGCCTTTGGCCTCTGCAGGCCTCTGGGGGTAGCTCTCACGAGCTATGATATAGCGGTCACTCAGTGCCCACTGTCCAGTGGCATCTGAGCCCAGCTAATTCACCTTTGACCTTGGGAGTAATGACATCCAGGATGCAGCTTGCAGAGTGCCCTCGGCGCCTTCCAGCTCCGGCCCCTCCCTTCTGTTCCAGTTTCGTTTCTCCAGTGAGCACCCTACCCTCCTACAAAGGGAACTGCTGGAGTTCCCCGCCCCATGCTTCTGGGTCTCGGAGGCCTGTCAGGCCAGTCCCTCTCCTGTCAAAATGCTGCCCGCTTTTGCCTGAACAAAGTGAAAAGGGGTTTTTCCTGGTTATTTTCAAGCTTGTATAATTGTGATTCCAGACTGACAAAGATAGCCCTAGAGCAGTGTTTCTGGATTTTATTTTTCATGATTGCTCCCCAGGAAGTCTATTTAGACACTTTCTCCTAATTCCCCACCCCCATAAAATTTTAATACAGTAGATGTTCTGTTTACCTTTTTATGTAGTGTATGTATATCTGTGCATTACACATAAAAAGAGTATAATTTTTAGCACATAGAATCTAAGAGTACAAACAGAAAACCTCTTAGAAGGGAATTCCCTCTGGTATCTGGGTACAAAATTAATATAGTAAGTTGAAATATAAGGAATTTCCAATATTTGACCATTATATGGTAATTTGTTATGGTTCGATGTAGTGAAAATACCAGTACATGGTTTACTAATCAGTAAACCCTAACTTGAAAAGGGAAAGACTTTTTACACCTGTTGCAAAATACAGAAATTCTACAAATCAAGAAGAAGCAATAGAAAACTACACAGGACCTACGCATGGCTAACAAGCATAGGAAGCATGCGTAACCTTACGTATAACTACGGTCACCGGGCCTGGTAAATAACAATAAGCCGGTGCTGACGTGGTGTGGCGCTGGAGGCGGACGGAGCCGGGCGGCGGGAGGGCTGTCTGGCCTGTTCTTCCTGGAGGTATGTTGTGCCTCAGCAAAAACTAATCCCCAGCCCGTCCTTGCCTGTTTTGCAGCCCTGTCTATCCTGAAACGGGCTCGCCGGGAGCGCCCAGGCCGGGTAGCCTTTGATGGGATCACCGTCTTCTACTTCCCCCGTTGCCAGGGCTTCACCAGTGTGCCCAGCCGTGGCGGCTGCACTCTGGGCATGGCCCCTCGCCACAGTGCCTGCCGCCGCTTCTCTTTGGCTGAGTTTGCGCAGGAGCAAGCCCGAGCCCGGCGCGAGAAGCTCCGTCAGCGCTTGAAAGAGGAGAAGTTGGAGATGCTGCAGTGGAAGGTAGAGAGAGCCCTCTCTGTGGGCCACAGCCTGAGGCAGCTCCTGGACTCCTAACCTTGAGGGGTGGGCGTACCAGGGGTGGGTGCTGACTTGCTCATTATGTATATGGGGAAACAGGCCCTAGGGCCAAGTGATTGGTTCCATTGGCGTCTGACGCCTGGGTTGTCTGCAGACTCGTGTCTGTCTGCCGCAGGGGCTGGGGGCATGATGCCTGCATCTGAACTGCTTGGAGAGGGGGGTGTGGAGTTGATACGGATTGGGGGGTGGGTATCTGACTGGTTAGGGAAGGGAGTCTGTTCATGATCTAGGCAATGCCATGAGTAGGGTGTCTCTTTTCAAATGCCCTGAGGATAGTATTCTTGGCTATCCTGTTCACCATCTACACACAGTGCCCATCGCAGATTCAGCACTAGCAGTGGGAGGGTAAGCACTTAGGGCGGCTTGTGTGTGCCTCTCACATCCCTCTCTCCTGATGATGCAGCTTTCGGCCGCTGGGGTACCCGACACAGAGGCAGGGCTGCTGCCTGCGGTGGATGCCATCGATGACGCCTCTGTGGAGGAGGACTTGGCAGCTGCTGTGGCAGGTGGCCGGCTGGAAGAAGTGAGCTTCCTACAGCCATACCCAGCCCGGCGACGTCAAGCCCTGCTGAGGGCTTCAGGCGTGCGAAGGATCGATCGGGAAGAGAAGCGGGAGCTGCTGGCACTGCGCCAATCCCGGGAAGATTGTGGCTGTCACTGTGACAGGGTCTGCGACCCTGAGACCTGCAGCTGCAGCTTGGCAGGCATCAAGTGCCAGGTGTGGCGGCTGGCCCGGGCTGGGATGGGGAACCTGAGCCTGGCGACTTGTCTGCACTCCACAGAATCCTCACTTGTCCCTTTACTTTCTCTGCAGATGGACCACACCGCGTTCCCCTGTGGCTGCTGCAAGGAGGGCTGTGAGAACCCCATGGGCCGTGTGGAGTTTAATCAGGCTAGAGTTCAGACCCATTTCATCCATACACTCACCCGCCTGCAGTTGGAGCAGGAGGCTGAGAGCTTTAGGGAGCTGGAGGCCCCTGCTCAGGGCAGCCCGCCCAGCCCTGGTGAGCAGGCCCTGGTCCCCACTTTCTCACTGGCCAAGCCCACAATGAGCAACGAGCTGGGAGACAACAGCTGCAGCAGCGACATGACTGATTCCTCCACGGCATCATCCTCAGCATCGGGCACTAGTGAGGCCCCTGACTGCCCCACCCACCCAGGCCTCCCTGGCTCCGGCTTCCAGCCTGGCGTGGATGATGACAGCCTGGCACGGATCCTGAGTTTCAGTGACTCTGACCTCGGCGGGGAGGAGGAGGAGGAGGAGGAGGAAGGGAGTGTGGGAAACCTGGACAACCTCAGCTGCTTCCATCCAGCCGACATCTTTGGTACTAGTGACCCTGGTGGCCTGGCCAGCTGGACCCACAGCTATTCTGGCTGTAGCTTTGCATCAGGCATCCTGGATGAAAATGCCAACCTGGATGCCAGCTGCTTCCTAAATGGTGGCCTTGAAGGGTCAAGAGAAGGCAGCCTTCCTGGCACCTCAGTGCCACCCGGCATGGACGCTGGCCAGAGCAGCTCAGTGGATCTCAGCTTGTCTTCCTGTGACTCCTTTGAGTTACTCCAGGCTCTGCCAGATTATAGTCTGGGGCCTCACTACACGTCACAGAAGGTGTCTGGCGGCCTGGACAACATTGAGGCACCTCACTTCCCCCTGCCTGGCTCCTGTCCACCTGGGGATGCCAGCACTTGCTTCCTGGAGTCCCTCATGGGTCTCTCCGAGCCAGCCGCCGAAGCCCTAGATCCCTTTATTGATAGCCAGTTTGAGGACACTGCCCCGGCAACTCTGATGGAGCCTGTGCCGGTGTGAGGACCAGGATGCCTTTCCCCAGCCCCAAAGCCCTGTTGCTGCTCTCTTGTAATTGTGGGGCTCCCCAGAGTCTCTGTGTAACAGTCTCCCACTGGCTGGCTCACCCACAGGTGCCAGGTGCACACTCCTGGTTTTCATACAACTCTCTGGATTTATTTATTTGTTTTAACTTTTCTGTGCTGAAGAGAGGATTGGAGGGGGGTACCCCTTTGAGCTGCCAGGCCCCCCACACCCACAGCTTGCTCTTCCATCTCCATAACGTGTACCTGGAAGAGGAGAAAGTGTGGCTCCCTGGAGCTTGGTCTTTGTGTGATGTTCCTTAACCCAAAGACCGTGAGACAGGGCTGTGAAATCAGGTGGCAGAAGCCACCCTCAGCCCTAGACCCATGGATGGCTAAATCCTCAGGACTGTGAAGACTGTAATTTATTTCCGTAACTTATTTGGAGATTGAGGAGGCTTTGGTTGCTCCTCTCTGGCGGGTGGGCAGTGCCGGGGGTGGGGTGGGCACAGGCCCTCAGGAGCCCCTTTTGCCTTGTACTCCTACACCCTGCCCTGCCTTTAGTGTAGACTAGGTGTGGATTCGAGCTCTATGAGCTATGTCTGCTGCCTGGCTCCTGGATGGCTCTGCAGGCAGGGGCTGGCCAAGGACACCATCTGGGCAGGGGGAGAGGCTGGGCTAACCAGCTGTGACCTTCTGTCCCACACTGCCCTCTCCACTTCCTGCCCTCTGTTCCATCTTCCCCCTCCCCAAAGGCCATAGCCTTTCTTCCAGGCCCAGGGATGTAGGAGGGGGAAGGAGGAAACAGGAGGCTCAGAGAGGGCAAGGGGCCTACCTCGGGCGCGAGCCATGCCCCAGCCTATTATCTCAGGGCTTTCTGGGCACTGCACTTCAGCCTGGCCCACCTGCCCATGCCCTGAGGCCAGTTAGCGAGGGGTGTCTCCTGAGGGCTTTTATACCGTTTCTTTGCTAATGTTTAATTTTGCATCATAATTTCTACATTGTCCCCGAGTGTCAGAACTATAATTTATTCCATTTCTCTCTGTGTCTGTGCCAAGAAACGCAGGCTCTGGGCCTGCCCCCTTGCCCAGGAGGCCTTGCCAGCCTGTGTGCTTGTGGGAACACCTTGTACCTGAGCTTACAGGTACAAATAAAGAAGCTTTATTTTTAACAGTGTGGTCTGTATTTGTGGGGTGGGAAGCAGGGCAATGGGGATGGAAGGGAGACAGGCCCTGCAGGGCCGCATGGACACAGGCTGAGTGGGGGGGTTAGGAGTCGGCACACCCAGCACATTGGGCCTCTTTCCAGGCAAGCCAGTCAAGTTGGAGGCAGGAAGCCAGTTGAGAGGCTGGCCAGGCAGATCCAGCAGTTTTTCCTTTGGATTAACCGGTTCTTCTCCAGTGGTGACCTGGGTGGGGAGGAATAGCAGCAGGGTCTTCTGACATGGGGCTATCTGCTGGGGATGGGTGAGGGCACCCTCCTGCCTACACACACTGAGCTGAGGCCTTGTCCTAAGGGTGAATTCGCCAACCTGAGTGGAGGCAGGGCAAGGGGATATGCCTGGTCAAGGCCTGCTGATGGCCTTACTTAGCAGCTGTGGTCCCCAGGGACTTAAGCAGGGGGTGGTGGAAGGGCAAGGGGACAGCTGCACAACCTCATCCCTCTGCACCAGCCAGACCTGTCTGACCTGTCCCTGGCAGCTCAGCTGGGCTGCAGGCCAGAGGAGTAGGCCACACCCTGCTCTGAGGAGCCCCAGTCTGGGGGCCTAAGAAAGGTTGACCTCCTCCTTAAGAATGATAGTGATTTGTACAAGAGCTGGAAGGAGGAACCACCAAAGGAGAACTGATTCGGGTCTCCTTGCTCTATTTCTCTGCCTTGGTCTCTGCTGGGCTCACTCACCACTTTGGCTTAACTGGTAAGAGTACAGAGCCAGAGTGCTGGGTTTGAATCCCAGATTTTCTACTACCTGGTGAGGTGATCTATGCAAATTACTCCCTCTGTGCCTGGGTGTCCTCAATACTGCGTGGAAATAGTAACACTGCTTACCCCATAAGCTTGTTCAGTTCATATTTACAAAGCACTTAGAGTGCCTGGAACATGCAAGTCCCGTGTACATGTTTGCAATTTCCATCAGTTCTCACGTTTCTGCCATTCTTTTTCTATACGTTTAATCCTTCCTTTTTTGCCTCCTGTCCTGTCACCCTTTAGGTATCTGTCTCTTGCCTCGGGACATGCATGGACATGGCCACATGGCCATATCGGTGCCATTAGAGGACTCATGGTTTGGGGTCTGGCCTATGGTGGGCAGTATGTCCCGGTAACCAGCTTAGCTAGGAATAACTAGGCCTTAGGCTTCTCAGGGTAGAGTACACTGGTACATTCAGTTGACCTGTCTCTTCTTCACTGGTGCCTGGAGAGCCTTTTGTAGAGATTACTTCAGCATGCACAATCTAAAACCCAGGTTCCTCCAAGGGCAATCAGGGTCGCTCTGACTGCCCTGGTAGTCTGGGTTCCCACAGGAAGGATGGTATCCCAGCTTACTCCAAAAAACCATGTTTGCGATCAGCAGTGTGTTATAAAAACAAGGCTCAGTGGCCATCAAGGAACTCACACTGTTCCAAAGAGACCCTCATCTGTCCACTGTTCCCAAACCTTAGTCACTGGACAAAAACTGCTCTTGAAAACTGCCCATATCTGCATTCGACTAATCATTTTTCTTTAAATAATAATCTTTCTTTAAATCAATTATATCAATATGCTTAAAAGCTAAATGCATCTCATAGAACAGCACCCATAAATTTCTGAGTTTGCTGTGCTGCTTGGTTTTCTGTTATGTAAAAATGATGTGTAAACACAGTTACTAAACTTTAAAATGTTTGCTGTATATCACTGGCAGAGAGTTGTGCCATGATTTGGGAGACATCTAACTTCCTGCCACAAATGGGACACTAAGATCCAGAGAGGGGAAGGGACCTAGATAGGTCACATCAGGAGATCCTAGGCTTCCTGACTCCTAGTTCAGAGTTCCAGCCCCCGAGGACAGAGTGTCCCATTACTGCCATCCTTAGTGACATCGAGGAGGAGTGATATTGGGAGCACAGCAAAGGTGGCCTTTGTCACCCTCTTGCCAGTTGCAATTAACTAACATTACTCATCTAAATAGGGACCATTGCATTTACCCCTTAGACCTTAAAAGGGTTTCTGGAGGATGTTAGTGGCCAATGTCTTTTAGCTGAAGTAGGAATTATTTTTTCTTGGAATGTATTTCCTTGTGTCAGGTACAGGTAGTCAGGTTTGTCTCAAACTGGTCAGGTCCAGAAGCAGCCAGGTGGACTTGGTGGGGAGTGGTGCAGGCAAGGGAAACAGAATGCACGGACAGGGTGGGACAGTGGTCCCTGCAACCTGCAGGCCCTCTCACACGGGGCCTCAGCTGCGGGGCCTTGTGCAGCTGGTCCTCCCGTCTGGGCCCACTGCCAGGCAGACTCAGGGGGCAGCACAGCAGGGAGGGGCAGCTGCTTCTTTAGCTCCAGGATCCTGGAGACCAGACAGGAGAAGGACAAAAACCATTGAAAAATGGCTGAAGGGGAGTCTTTTCAACCACCACTCCACTAGGAGCCCCCTCTTTGCTCCCCTCTGCCCCCTCAGAGTGTGGGATAAAAGTGAGGTCTATCAGAAAACGCCCAGTGAGCCCAGCAAAAGTTAAGCCAGTTGATGTCTTTCTCCCCAGAGCAAAACGTATTGTGCCTTAAAAACATAAAGCTTTGGGATGGCCCTTAGGTCAGAGGAGACATGATTCAAAATAAACCACATATACTATAGAAATGGGGAAGAATGTAATTAATAAAAACAAAGAAAGAAAGAAATGAGGAAAAATATGTCATTTTCTGAGTCCCGGCTCCACTGACCCACTTCCCACCCCTCCACACAACTTCGGTAGGTTGACGGCTTCTCCTGGCCCAGGCCCCTTGACCCCAGCTAGGGCCTCAGGGACCTTCGGGCCTTTTCCAAAATTTCCTCCCTGATCTTGGGGTAGTTGGGGTGCTCCCTGAGGACCTGGAACAGAGAGAGAAAGGAGTGCAGGATCAGGCAGGGCTCCCCGCCGCTGGCCAGGCCTCCCTGCCAAGGCTGCCCGCTTACATCGTGGCAGATCTCGATGGCCTCCACAAATTTCTTGTCCTTCAGGTAGTTGAAAGCAAGTCTGAAGCCTACCAGGGACATGGAGAGCATAGATGGTGGCACCCTGATGACCTGAGAACCCCTCTGTTCTCATAACAGCCAGGGTGCAGGCCTTGAGTTCCGGGATAACGGCAGGGGTCCTCCTGCCCACCTCCCTCCCACACCCATTCACACGCACCCTGGCTGGCTGCCTTACCAACGGCAGGGCTGGCGTGATGGCTGTACTTCCAGGCCAGTTTGTAGTTGGTGACTGCATCCTTGTAGGACTGCTCCTTCTCCATGATGAAGCCCATGTACTCATAGGCCTTGTAGCAGGACTGCAGGGAAAGCCAGTTAGAGCCTCTGCAGAGGGGAAGTCCCAGCTGGTTCCCTGAGCCAGGGTAGGACTGGGACCAGAATCAGAAGCAGGCAAGAGGCAGACATGAGCTGCCATAAACCAAACTGCCAAGGGACCCCGGGGGTACCTGCACCTGTGCAGGAGGCCAACTGTGTGCCTTCCTCTCAGCTACCTGGGACGCTGGTGTAACCCCTTTACCTCCTGTCCCACCACTCCCATTCCTGGCCTGCTCTGACCTGCAAAAGTCCCTCCAGGCTGGAACCTGTGAACCTTTCCCATCTCTCTCTGCCATGTAGTGTTCCCTCCTCTGGACATGTCCCGCCCCCATGCACCTCCTCTTACCTGGTCCATCGCCCTTGATCCCCGTTCCTATTTTGGCTCCCATTCTGTTGCCCATGTGCCCCTCTTGGCCCGCCTCTTCCTTACTAGTTCTTATTCTGCACGGCCTCTGCCTGCAAAGCCTGCTTCGCCCTCCTGGAGTAGCCAGAGCACTCTCTGCAGCCTCGCAGCCCCAGTGTGTGCCCCCTTGCCTTGTTGTATCGCACACAGCGCTGCAGCAGTTCCGAGGCGAGGTCGAACTTGCCGCCCTGGCAGTAAATGTCGGCCAGCAGGAGCCAGCTCTTCTCCAGGTCATCAGCCTCACTCAGCATCCAGGGGGCCTTGGCCAGGCGCTTCAACTGCATACGTGCCTTGGGGATCTGCTTCAGGAACACGTAGGCTTGTGCCAAGGCCAGCAGGGCAGGAATGCTCTCCTTCTGCACACCAGGTGGGAGGTGGATGTCAGCACACTTTGGTGGTCAGCCTCTGCCCCACTGCCTACCCATGCCCTCTAGTCCCCACCAGCCGCACCTCAGCCTGCGCTATCTGGAGGAATTTGCCCAGCGCAGCCTCCATGTTAGCCTTCTCCCTGGTGGCCAGCTGGCAGAGGCCCTGCAGCAGCTGCAGCTGGGTCTGGCTGGAGGCTGAGTGTGGGTGAAACTCACACAGCAGTTTCTCGGCAGTGCTCACACCCTGCTGCTCCAACTCCTTTTTCTCCGTGTAGCTGCAGGTATTAGACCTGGGTGTCAGATGCAGGCCGGTGGCCTGCCCCTGTGGCCCTCATGCGGCTTCCACCCAGGGGCTGCGGACTCTCCCTAATTTCCCCAGGGTTCCGTCCCTACCCCCACGTGCCCTTACTTGATCTCAGCCTCCTGGTTCTCAAAAGCCTCTCCGCCCACAACCTCATTGTCTGGATTCAGACAGATCTGCACCATGTGGTAGATGGCACTCTGGCTCCAAGTGCGGTCCTTACGAGCCTTGTTCAGGAACTTTAAGGCTTCGTTGGGCTGCCCTGTGTACCTGTAGTGGAGAAAACACCAAGAATCGGTGAGGGAAACTAAGGCCCAGACAGGACAGGGATATACAAGGGCCACTTTGTGAGTCTCCACAAAACAGAGGCTGGATCGCTGGTTTCCCAGCTCCCCTGGAGGAGACAGGGGTGTCGGACCTGGGTGTCAGATGCAGGCCAGTGGCCTACACAAGTGGCCATCACCTGGCCTCCATCCAGAGGCTGCAGGCTCTCCCTGACTTCTGAAGGTTGCACCCCCACCCCTGTGGGCCCTCACTTGCTGGGCCCAGGTATCCTGGAGACAGAATTTCGGTTCCCTTTGTGCAGAGCA